CCCCAAAACCCCAAAACCCCAAAACCCCAAAACCCCAAAACCCCAAAACCCCATTTTTATTTTTGATTATTGATAAGAATATTTTTACAATGGCAATGGTAGGAGTTACCAAGAGAAGTATTGAGGAGTTCATCCCCAATTCTAAGGACTTGAAAGATGTCACAGGTGTAGGACCTGGCACTTATTCACCGAAACTTTATGAGAAGGATATGAGTTATACACACCAGAAGGCCCCACCGTTTAATACCCAGGATGGCAAGTGGAGTCCTGAGAAGGAAAGCGTTAAGAAGAATATACCAGGCCCTGGAGCTTATAATTTAAGCCAAGATTTGAACAAAGGCAAAGTCATTGCGCTAAATATGGATAAGAGTAAGAATGATTTGTACTTGTTTGAAATTTTTCTAACTGTTGTGATATAGGGACTTATTATATCCAGGATCCTGCTAATGCACATAAGAGAATGACTTCGTTGGATAATTCTATTAAGAAGGATAGGCTAGATATAGTTAGCAAGTAAGTTAGTAATTTGCTGATTATTTAGAGATCAAAATCCTGGTCCAGGAGCATATGAAGCAGACTCTTTGTTCGATAAAATGATTGAAGCTGAGAGGATTAGAAAATAAAGATCAAGGCTATCTAAAGCAAAATGCAACATCTAACACTAGCTTGAATATGAAAGAGCTACAAACTTCCGATTCTAACCCTTCTGGGTATAAATTCAACCATGGTAGATTGAAATCAATGATATTTAGGTCCTGTCTGGGATACATCAACAACAACAAATTCCCGAATGTTGAAGATGAACTCAAGCAGATCATCATTTACAAGCCAAAAGAAAGATGGGTATAAATTTGCTATAGCAGAGAGGAACTTGGAGTTTCCTGTAAGCCAATATCCAAAGGTAGGACCTGGCTCATACTTCAAAGAAGGTAAATTTTATTTTAATATTAGATCATTTAAACAGGATGAAATTTGCAAAGACATCTAAGAATTCATCACAGTTTTCTACTCAAAGAGCCTCAGTTGCCAAATCTCTGCATAGCAGGCACAACACTGAGAATATTAAGAAGAGGCAGAACACTCAGTATTTCCACAAATTCAGAGGTAACAAGAAGAAAGTGAACAGCATCTGTGCTAATTTTGAAGACTCTGATAGTGATTATGAGAGTGATAAGCCAGGGCCAGGTAGTTATTACAATCCTGAAATTGAAACTAATTTTAAGACTAAACAAGACTCGACTCCTTTCCAGTACTTCGGAACCACTTCTCCCAGGTTTCAGACTAGTGATAATAATAAGAACCCTGGACCAGGAACTTACAAGCAAAAAGTTGAGATTCCAAGAAAAGGGGAATATACTTCTTCAGTATTTAAGAAAGAGAGAAGAATAGATACAATTTTTGAAAAATTCATGTCTCCTGGGCCTGGTCCAGGAAAGTATAACAACGCTGGCACTGATTTTCATTCGAAATAAGCATTATAAGGACAAGAAGGGAAACAGTTTGCACTTTATTAGCGCAGAGAGGAGGTTCATCAATGAACCTGAATACGTGAAAAATCCTGGTCCTGGAAAATATTTTGACACGAAAGACCCATTAGCAATCAATGGACCTTTACCAAAATTTGATTCAAATTTTGGATCGAAAACCAAGAGAAAGATTGAGAAATTTCTAGTTCAAAATGAGAATTCACCGATGTACAACTTGCAGAATCATAATTCAATGTCTCAGAGAAAAGTAGGTCGTCCGATTAAAATTTTAGCCGACTGCTGGAGCTCCAAACAATTTCACAATTATGTACAAGAAGGAAGCTCCATTTATGACCTCCTCTCCAAGATTTACAGAAGATGAGATTGAGCCTTTGACTAAGTCAGATAAACAAAGAGGAAAGAACTCTTTATTAAATAAGCTAATTTCAGAGGCAATCAAGCAAAGAATTCCAAGGATGCCTTTTAATCAATCAGACGAGAGGTTCAAAAGTATGCCAAAGAGGCAACCAGGGCCTGGAGAGTATGATACTGACAGGAACAAGTGGAATAAGCAGACTTTCAACCTGCGGTTCATTAAGTAGACTTGTTAAAACTTTGATTTTAAATCAAATTCAATCATTAATAGGTCATTAGGGGTTTTGGGGTTTTGGGGTTTTGGGGTTTTGGGG